ATAAAAATAAAACAATAATAAGTAGCCTGTGTTTTTACAGACTAAACTCAATATCTTCATTGAAACCTGTTCAGTAGTTTAGGCTACAAACTCTAACAAACATCCATCTAAACTTTCGCATTTATAATATAAATTGCGTGCGTGGTGTTGCAGGGCGCCGGTGCACGTGGTGACGGGCTCGGCGGGCTGCCAGGAGGGACGTGACCACTTCAAACGTACTGCACACACTATATAATGCATGTTTATTACGTTGAGGGAAATTGTACTTTCTACTCCATTTCTTATAAACATGGGCGTTACCAGCAGACACACTAAGGAGGCTGGAAACGATGATCAAGGGGAATAGTAGTAAAAATACTTTATTTTGATTCCAAACAGAATACTAATCAATGTGTAATCCATTTTTAATTAAAGTCTAATAAGATGTAGGGATTATTCTATTTTCCATTCTGTGGGTGAGGTGAGAACTTATAACCATGCGAAAATATTAATTCTCTATCTCAAAAATATTTAACGTGACAAGTAATGTAAAGTACAGTATAAAACATTGCAGGCAAACCGCACAAGTGGTCCGCGTTCAGGTCGCAGGACTACGGCTACACGAGGTTCAAGGCATTCAACAAGACCCATATCAACATAGAACAGGTAGTCAGGTACCAATTAGTAACGTGAATTAGTTTAAAATTGAAGGAAAATGTATATTTAAGAAATAAACATTAGTACATATAGAACACGGCCACACAGGTGAGACCAGACACGAGACCAGGTTAGGCCTAATTTTAGTCTCTGCGCTCTTTTCTTATAAGGAAAGAGTGGAGACGTGTAGGAAGTGTATACATCATACTTCATACTAATATTATAAATGCGAAAGTTTAGATGGATGGATGTTTGTTAGAGTTTGTAGCCAAAACGACTGAACGGATTTTGATGAAATTTGGTATCGATGTAGTGGATAGTCTGGAACAACACATAGGCTACCTATTTTTGTTTATTTTTATTCCACGCGGACGGAGTCGCGGGCGACAGTTAGTTCTCTATATATGCGTCTCCATCGTAGGTTTAGAGTGTGCGCCTTTGACATAACTATCGCACATCTGTGTGATTGTCGATTGCTTCGCAACTAATCCAACTGATTAGTTGCACAACTAAGCGAGACTGTTTAGTAAAGGCGTGCGCGGTTTAATTGTAGACAACGCATCTGCAATTGTGGATGTCTATGTCTATGGGTAGCGGTTCCGCAATTTTAGATTCCGATGGCCGCTTGCTCGTTTGAAATGTTATAAAATAAATTTTGCAGGTGTCAGTTGACCTTGAGGGACAGGTCATCGACAGTTTCTGGCTCATCAAAGACAAGAAGACGAAACTATGAAATTCGCCCGACTGTAGGTAATTTACAAATTAGAAGTTAGAACAATAAATGAAATAATTAATTTGAAACAGAAAATCTAGTTTGAAATATACCAAGATACTAATGTTTTTTAGTTAGAAAAGTTAATCTAGAGGGATTTTTTTACATAAAAGTGATTTAAATATTGCATTAAGTTTTAATTTTGGTAAATTTTTTATCAATGTTAATTTTTTTAAATTAGTTTTGGGTTTAAAAATGTGTTATAAAACTAAGGAATAAAAATACAATTTTTAATAAAGTTGTTTTATTTAATATGCTACTTCGTATATTTTATCATTTGACCAGTTGGTCCTATCCTATACTCATGGTTTGTTAGTAAGAAAAAATATAGAATGTTTATAATAAAACATACATATCGTACGACTGTTTTTTAAGCTTATATATAAACAATTTAATGGCAAAGTAAAAAAAATACATTCAAATATCACAAACAGTTTGCGACAACATATTTGTACTGAAGGCGAGTGTACTGCAACTAAATATATATTTATACTATTTTATTATAAGGCACAAATTATCATATAATTTTAACTTACAAACAGTTGGTAAAACAACCAAAAATATGTAGAACTACTCTTATACACAAAATTTAGAAGAAACGTGAAATTTCCTTGCGCACTAAAAGACGATTGAAGCGCCTACAAGCTTGCTCATATTCTCTGTTAACTTATATCTCAAGTATACATACACTTATAAATAACTACACTATTTACAGAATCTTACCCATTTGGTGTTTACACTTAATTTTATTAAACTTAACATGTTAAAAATTATATTTTATAGATTTTAAGTTGTAACTACAAGTTTTTAAACACAATTCCTTTTTTTGTACAAACTAGTTTTAATGTTCAGAAGCATTTTAAAATACATTCCATTGAGACGACCGCATATAAGAAACACTCAAACTATACTAATATATCTCAAAGTATAATTCAAGCACCATCGAAACTATCAATGCGTCTGCCCTACGCTAACTTCCCCCTCACTTCTACTGAATCTAGATTTCCTAACATCCCCCCTCCCCAAGCTCACCTCCCCTTCACTTCTTAAAGGTAAAATGACACTGGAAATATCGGAACTATATTTAGATACAAGCGAGGAACCGCTCGACTCAGATATCGTAGGAATTTTACTTTTCCTTATTTTCTTTTTAAATTTACGTTCAATCTCCCCGAAGCTACTTATATCTGACGATGAATAATCGCCGTCTGCTGAACTTGAACTGCATTTATTGATAAATTTAACTGTTGTGGGTTTGCTTTCCAACTTGGATGGTGTAGGGTCCAGGTTGGAGAGGACATCGCGCGAGCTTCGAGGCAGACGTAAGCTGAACCGAGGCGATGACAGGTTGATCGACATCGCCAATTCGTTGATCTCGTTCAACTCAAGGCGTAGATTCTCGTGTGCGACTGCGGGGCTGGTCTGCCGGTCCACTGTCAGCGCCAGCGCGAGTGGTGACGTCGTTCGGGTCTTAGTTTTAGTCGGTGACGTCATCACGCTCCGCACGTGCGCTGGCGACGTTTGCGTATTTTTCTGAGACGCCGAAAAATTCTTCTTGCCTTCTTTGTCTTTAGACGTAGAGGGCTGGGTAAAGTTCTTTTTAAGTATATCAGAACACTCATCCATTATCAGTTTTTTAATTAATTCTTCGTTTAGTTTCTTGTCTGTTTCTTCTCTAGTATTTTCCGTAGGCCACAGGTCGTTGTGTATGGGTTGTATGTTTCTAGGCGATGTCTGTGTCGCTTTTAATGATATTTTGTATACGGGGTTGCTTTGAGTTGCGTTGTCTTGCATGTCTATGGAATGGACGAATTCAAAAATATCGACGGAGTTTTTAAGCGAGAGGTTTGACGATTTCGTGTATGTAGCATTGTGTGCGTGTGCTTGAACCTGATCAACATTCTCTTGTGGGTCTTTGGGAGCATTTAGTTCATCATCAGATAGTGAGTTGTCATGTTCCGTTTTTTCTTCCTCAAAATCGTCAGCGTATGTATGTTTATCACTTCTGTCGGTTTCACTTGAAATGTTAGATTTAGATGATACTTTATCCTTAACATTTTTTCTCAACGTTTTAGTAACGTTTCTCTCAATATCTAATACTTCCTCCAGCAAGTTTTCATCAGATGTGTTTAGAACATGTGTCTTCCCTTCTTTAATAGGATTGTTATGGAAGGAATTTTCGCGACTTGTTATAATTTTATCAAGGATCGGACTGAGAGGAACATTCTTGTCGGGTATGTCGGATAATTCTTTTTCAATATCACTCACTCGAATACCTCCTATTGTTAGTTTTGTATAAGGAATGTACTCAGCATTGTTTAATTGAGATTTTATGTTTTGTTGATCTCGATTTGCATTAGATTTCTTAGGCGATTTTTTTAACTTATGATTTGGACTTATTTTACGAATTCTGGACGTAGAAGGAAGACCGTAAATGGAGTTAATTTTTTTCTTCCATTCGTCAATATTGCGATGACTTTTTGTTGGAACTTTGATTTTAGCATTGTTTTTACTCTTTGTGTCAACGTTTGCAGATATTCCTCGAGATGGAATTCGCACTGGTTTGTTAACTTTTTGAATAATTCTATCCTGTATGTCTGAACTTACATTATTAGTTGAGTCGCTACTGTCGCAAGGTAACATTTTAGACACCTTTCTAACAGCGGGTTTAATGGGGGGAGAAGCCGCATGTACAACTTCTGGATAATTTGTGATTCTCTTCTCGACTTTAGGAGCAGATTCATGTTGCAAGGCAATGACGGCTACATTACTTGGCGTCTTTAAGTTTTCAACACTCACATTTTGTTCTGGTATGATATCCAATTGTAAAACTTTCTGTTCCCTCAATTCACTCCTGATATTGATGCTGGGCATTTCTTGAACATGCAGTGGTTTCTGATTACAATTCTTCACTTTAGGTTCCTCGTATATATAAGAATATTCATTGTACGCAACGAAAGGTCTAGCACTACACTTAGCATTATTAAGTTTAACATCTTTTACCTTATCACTAAAATCTTCTTCTATTTGTACAATTTTCGTACGCGATATACTTAAGTTCTTTTTACAAGTCTTTGTTGGTTTCGGCAGTCGATTTACTTGGACAGAGGCACTAACGGTTTTCGGTTGAGGTTTTATGCATAGATTTTTTCTAATTCCTGTTTCATTTTGAGATTTTCGGGGTAATGTTTTGTCGTCAATGTTATATCTATGGAATTTAGCATTGACAATTTCTTCAATGTGGATCTTTTCATTGAACTCTTGGTCTAGCGGGGTGGGCAGGACGGTGGGGCGCGTAGGGCGC